TAGTTGTAGGTGATGTTTCACAATTATAGCAATTGGAATCAACATAATTAGCAAAAAAATATTATGATTTTGAAGCATATACCGGAAAATTGGGTTTATTGGGGAAGTAAGTGCATTGCTGAAAATGTAAACGTAAACTGCGGGAACACTCTTTGCTTCACTTTTTGGGCGATGTGATGGTAAATTGCTCAAATATAACTGGACATATAACTTAAGATTCGTTATGTCTCGAGCATTGTCACGTTTGAACCGGTTCTTGATTAGATCGATTATATCTAATGCTTCCTATCAATTTATTTTTTTGGTTTCATACTTTCATTAATTAAACAAAATTGATAGGAAGCATTAGTTTTGTTGAGATAGAATATAGTAGTATTTTTTTTTTCACACAGATGAGAATTGAAATTTACGGCTGAATGGCTGATCATAGGAATAAACCACTATGCAAAATTTGAAAAAAGGTTAGGCAGTAGCTAGCTAGTGTGGTGCTTTCCGAAACACTTTTGGAGCCCAAGGTCAAGCCAAAAACCAAAATTCTTAAGAGTTGCTTTAGTAGTTTTACTATAGAATTTATATACGTTTAGACCACGAATGAATATAGTACACCTAATTATATAGTCGGGTCTGAATATTTAACCTCATACTATTCTGCTAAGTGCTAATCCAAGGTAAACCAATTAGTTACATAGTGGATAATTACCTCCTACTTCTACGGTCAATTCATAAGAAAAGATAATTACCATGCACAGAAACGATAATTACATAATTTGCTGTCCATAGAAATCGAATAGAAAGATACTTGCAACACTTTGTTTTAAACTGGATCTTTAATGAGATACTACTTATTTGGTTATTATAAAATCCTTATATTTTGGATTCGCGATTCCACTATGATTCCATCAGTTGATATCATTTGGATTTTTGTAATAGAAATTAAAAAATATAGTTTGAAATTTGCTAAAATAACCACCGTTAAATTAGAAAAAAAAATGTCACTAAAAGTAATTAAACTATAATATATAATTTTTGTTAGATTTTTTTTGTTTGTTTTAAAAATATTCAAGCCAAGACTTCATTTGAGCAGCGTAATCGTCAAAGAAGTTACGGAAACCTAATCTATATACATATTCCAATAACACACTTTAATTAAAGGGAACATCCATTAAGTTATGTTTAATTACACATGAGAAAGCCCTAGATATAAGGAATAAAACCGCCGACCAAACAAATTTAATTTTCAATTAAAATATCAAAATTCAACCGGATGTATATTTCTCTAATTATAGTCAGAGTAAAAATCTTCGGATCGGATTAACATTATCCTAAAAATTATCTATGTTTCTGTTATCTTCCTCCTCATATTTCGCCTATATAAACATTACAACAAACTACTTCCACTTATCACATTCTCTCCTTGTTCAACTTAATACTACACGGCCAAAAACATTCCACTCATCAGATCCTGACTCTTTGGATCAATGGGTGTTTCAAATGTTGTTTCTGTCTTATTATTTCTCGTAATAACCAATTTAAGCAATCAAAATATCAAAGGAATTGATGCATTTCATCAGATTTACGAAGAATTGCAATCTGAATCAGTCGAGTCAGTGAATCATCTTCACAGACCTAGTTTTCACTTTCAACCTCCAAAGCATTGGATTAACGGTACATTGATCTCTCTCCCTCTCTTTCAAAATTTAGTTGGATTGTTAATTTCTTTAGTGTTTAATGACTTTGGTTTTGATGTTTAGTTTTTTTTTTTTCCTTTTTTGTTCCGAAATGAAAGTTGATTCCATTACGACGGTATTTGCATAGATACGAGATCTCCAAATTCTTCAAATCCTTTTTTGTTGTTATAGTTGTGTGATACAACAATAAAGCTTAGTATGTCAATGAAAGAAACATTAGAACTCGGTTTTTTAAAGAAGAAACAAGACAACTACCCTGATCTAGACAAAAACAAACAAACTTCTCCGTTCCTTAATGTATAATCTCACGTATGATAATTACGTCATGAAAATGTAGGGAAGAAACTAATTTTTGCATGGGGTATTTATATTTATTCATATCTATGTATATATTTTTTTGTATATAGAATATTAATTAAAGTGATATCTAGACATTCACATTTTCACCAATACAAAACACAGCATATATAACGTGAGAACACAGCTATGTTTTTTTTTGTTCTGTATAAAAACTATGCATTTATATTTACATGTGCTTGTGGTCATATCTTTCAATGGAAAGATCACATGAAATTAATTTCATCTTCAACTTGTTCTACCAAAGACTTTCAATTTCATGTGATTTTTTGTATTCTCGAATCCTCTTGTCTTATCTTATTTCCCTCGAAATCATAATCTAATTTTGATGACCTCAAAGTAGTAAACTAACCTGGTTTTTGTTTTCTTTTGTTTCCATGTGGCATTCTCAACAATCCTTATAGATCCAAATGGTGAGTTTTTATAATATTTTGGTCTTATTATATAGTATATACATCTTTATTGTATATGAGATAATCTAGTTTGTGGTTTTTGAAAACAGGTCCAGTATACTACAAAGGTCTCTACCATCTCTTCTACCAATATAACACCAAAGGTGCGGTTTGGGGTAATATTATATGGGCCCATTCGGTTTCTAAAGACTTGGTTAACTGGGAGGCTCTTGAACCGGCCATCCATCCTTCAAAATGGTTCGATATCGGAGGTACATGGTCAGGTTCCATAACAATCGTACCGGGAAAAGGACCGATTATCCTATATACCGGTGTTAACCAGAATGAAACTCAGTTGCAAAACTATGCAATCCCGGAGGACCCATCAGACCCTTACCTAAGGAAATGGATTAAACCGGATGATAACCCTATTGCAATGCCAGACTATACCATGAACGGTTCAGCATTCCGTGACCCGACCACAGCTTGGTTCTCCAAAGACGGGCATTGGAGAACCGTGGTAGGATCAAAAAGAAAGCGTAGAGGAATCGCTTACATCTACAGAAGCCGAGATTTCAAGCATTGGGTCAAAGCTAAGCACCCGGTTCACTCTAAAGAGTCAACCGGTATGTGGGAATGTCCTGATTTCTTTCCGGTTTCCTTAACCGATTTCCAAAACGGTTTGGACTTGGATTACGTTGGTCCAAACACCAAGCATGTGTTGAAGGTTAGCTTGGACATAACCCGGTATGAGTATTACACGCTTGGTAAATACGATCCTAAGAAGGACCGGTACATACCGGACGGTAATACTCCCGATGGTTGGGAGGGTTTAAGGTTCGATTATGGTAATTTCTACGCTTCCAAGACATTCTTTGACTACAAAAAGAACAGAAGAGTCTTATGGGGTTGGGCCAATGAATCTGACACCGTTGAAGATGATATTTTGAAGGGTTGGGCTGGTATTCAGGTAAATAATTATAAACATATAATTTTGTTAATGTAATGAAACTTTATGTTAAATTAATATATATAATGAATTTATAGGTAATTCCAAGAACGGTGCTTCTTGATTCAAGCAAGAAGCAACTAGTGTTTTGGCCTGTTGAAGAGATAGAGTCATTAAGAGGTAACTACGTCCGAATGAACAACCATGACATCAAGATGGGTCAACGTATAGAAGTCAAAGGAATCACTCCAGCTCAAGCCGATGTGGAAGTAACGTTTTATGTTGGAAGTCTAGAGAAAGCTGAGATTTTCGACCCGAGTTTCACGTTTGAACCATTGGATTTGTGTAAGATTAAAGGCTCGAATGTGAGAGGCGGTGTAGGACCTTTTGGTCTGATTACATTAGCGACTCCTGATTTGGAAGAGTACACTCCTGTCTTCTTTAGAGTCTTTAAAGACACTAAAACTCATAAGCCTAAAGTTCTCATGTGCTCCGATGCTAGACCGTACGTTCCATGCATGATCTCGCTCTCTCTCTATATATATAATATGCTTTTCATTAGATTAATGTAACATTTAAATTCTTTATTATAGGTCGTCGTTAAAGCAAGACAAGGGCCCACTCGCAAAGGATAGAATGTATAAACCACCGTTTGCTGGTTTTGTGGATGTTGATATGGCTGATGGAAGGATCTCTCTAAGGAGTTTGGTACGTATCTTTATAAGAATTTTTGATAATTTTGCTTGTTTAATTATTTTATTATGTAACGTGACATAAACTGGAATCTTAATTGTTACAGATTGATCATTCGGTCGTAGAGAGCTTTGGAGCATTAGGGAAAACGGTGATAACTTCAAGAGTGTATCCAGTGAAAGCAGTAAAAGAGAATACACATTTGTATGTGTTTAACAATGGAACACAGACTGTGACCATAGAGAGTCTCAATGCTTGGAACATGGAACGTCCTTTGCAGATGAATGAAGGAGCTCTTTGATTTAGCTCTTCTCTCTATAGTTTAGCTATAGCCTCTCTCTATCTCACTTTTTCCTTTATTTCATCTTCAGTAGTTACTGAGAGATACTGTGAAATTAGGAAGAACACTTTGGGATGTACTGTGTGTTATGATCAATTTGGTTGTGCATGTCCATACTTTGTGTATCGACTCTTGTACCTTTCTGTCTTTAATCACTCAATAAAAATAATTATAGACCAAATATCAAGAATATATATGCGCTTAAGAGATTTACAATTCAAGGAAATGTAGCAGAGATTTGGAATTATTTAAAATAATAATAAGCCACTATCAGATTTTCTAATAGTCTTTTTAAATTATCTGATTTTTTTTGCAAACAATCATCTGATATAGATATAAAAAAATATGGAAAATTTTGCGTTTGTTACTTGTTTTCCCAAACAAAAAGAAAAAAAAAAAAGAAAACAAACACGTTTGTGTTTTCTAATTTCCAAAACCGTAAATGTTTATGATTTTTTCAAAAAAAATATAAATTTAAGATGTAAAAAAAAAATCATTAGATGAAACCAAATCTTTTTAGGAATCAAAACTATAACAATCTTATCTATAAATACAGATAATAGGGTTTTGACTTCTTCACAAAAAAAAATTCTACATCATCACCATATTATTACTCAAAATACAATGTCTATGGCAGAGATTTTCGAGAGAGTTGACAAAAACAAAGATGGGAAAATTTCATGGGATGAATTTGCGGAGGCAATTCGCGTTTTTTCTCCTAAAATAACAGCTGAAGAAATTGATAAGATGTTCATCGTTCTTGATGTCGATGGTGACGGTCTGATAGATGCTGTGGAGTTTGCTTCGTGTTTCATGGTTAATGAGGGAGGAGAAAAAGATGATGAAGATGTTGTTATGAAAGAAGCTTTCGATTTGTACGATATCGATGGTGATGGAAAAATCTCGGCGAGTGAGATTCATGTGGTATTGAAGCGACTTGGAGAGAAGCATACAATGGAGGAATGCGTTGCGATGGTTCAAGCCGTTGATAAAGACGGTGATGGTTTTGTTAGCTTCGAAGAGTTTAAGGTTATGATGAACTCTAAGAAAGAGTCACTATGATCTTATTCAAAATTTTAGTAGTTTAATTGTCTTTTGGTGTTGTTTTGCTTTTTAGTTTATGAATTAGGTTTTGATGATCACGCTTTTCCCATATTTTCAATGCATTATCTTGTTTTAGGATTTGTGTTAATCTCTTCTAACAAAAAAAGATTCTTTGAGATATGCTTTTGTTTCTATACTAGTTAATTTCGATTTACTCAAATTTTAAAAGAAAACATAACATGAAGATTTTAGGTCAACGCTTAAAACTGAAACGAATCATCGGATCACTCTTTGATATATTTGCTTGTTTATGTCATTACACTCTTAACACATAATTACATAATCAAGCTCTCTACTACCGAATGACCAAATCTTGTCACCATAGAGAGTCTCAATGCTTGGAACATTGAGAGCCTTTTTGCAGATGAACGAGGAGCTCTTTAATTTAGTCTTTCTCAGTATAAGTAGTTAAGCCTCTTCTTTGTCTTTTGATCTCACCCAATAAAACTAATTTAAGATCGTTGTTAAACTAATTAACCAATTTTAGATGCGTAAAATCCTTAATGCGCTTAGGAGAATTATATATTTCAGATTGCAGAACTACAATTTGAAGAAACATGGCAGAGATTATAGAATTGATTTTAAAAAAGCCAAAAATCAGATTTACTAATAATAATCGTAAAATTCACTGAAACAAGGTATGTGTAAGAACAATAGAGGTGTCTTTCTCAAGGCAAACACAAAAAAATAACGTAAATAAGCTTTTGATAGAAAAAAACAGATCACTTGATCTTCTTCTTTGGCCTCAACTGCAAAAGAATCAGAAAATCACATTTAATAACTAACTAATCAAACAAAATCTATGGAATATTTAAAAACCAAAGAGACAGAAAACCAAACCTGGTTGCTATGGCCACACTTCTTCTTCCTGCAGTTCACAGCCCTTGGGTGCAGACGAGCATAACACCTTAACCAACAAGGTTAACAACTCAAACATGAGACACAATTTTCACACAACAATAGTGTTACAATGAATGAACTACTTATAAGGGTAGCAACAACTGATATGAGAGAACTAGATAGATTCAATACATTTTGCAAACTAAAAGAATCACAATCCACAAAGAAAATGAATAATAATAGTTCAGCTCTAAGTTAATTCCCCATAAATACAGAACAAGAAAGAAAACTTACTTGCGACAAATCATTTTGTCTTGGTTATACTTACGAGCCAACATCATCAACGAAGGCTCAATGATACCTCCCCTTAGCCTCAGAACAAGATGCAGAGTCGACTCTGTTTGATAATAACCAAAACAAAACTGAATCAACAAAACAATCACAGCTAAACTTATTTCATTTTCCAAAGAATCCAAAACATACCTTTCTGGATGTTGTAGTCAGCCAAGGTACGGCCATCTTCAAGCTGTTTTCCGGCGAAGATCAACCTCTGCTGGTCCGGAGGGATTCCTGAAACAGAGGAAAAACGAACCGATAAGAGATCACACAATTTCAAAAGAAAAAAGACAAGAGCTTTGGAAGTTATTATACCTTCTTTGTCCTGGATCTTGGCCTTGACATTGTCGATGGTGTCACTGCTCTCGACCTCGAGAGTAATGGTCTTGCCAGTTAGTGTTTTCACGAAAATCTGCATCTTTGTGTTTCGTTTTCTTCGCCGGAATTCTCAAAACGGCGCATAGAGTATAAACAATGAAGCTTTATAGTTTATCCATTTCTTAGGGTTTTGTGTTGATTAATAAAATGGGCCCTCGATTCCAAAGCCCATTAAGTTATGGATCATAGTATGCGTTTGATTATCAACAAAACCAATTAAAACACATGGATGATATACTCCTTGATTGGTGTTCTGTTCCATCACATTTAGTCCTATTTTACTCTAGCTCCATGAACTGGTCATGGTTTTATGAGGTTTGATTTAGGGGACGACAACACATCATTTTCCCTCTCAACTTTCTGATTAAATCTTGTTGTTATAATCTTAAAATTGAATACAATAGTATTCAACAGTTTCAAGAAATTTAGGTTTGTTTCACTAACGAATGAATAACTTCGTGAGCTCAGAATTTTTTTTATGCAGGATAGAACATTTGGAATGAACATTGTAATAACTAAATTTCCGGGTGAGAAGGGCAAAAGACTCATATCATAGTAGCTAACTATACTAACCAAAGGCAAAAGACTCATATCATAGTTGAAAAATGTTGTTTAAACTTTAAATTAACAAAAAGTATTCAACTCCAAAACTCTTCCACAATCTAACAAACTCCAAAATAAAATTGTTCTGACAAAATGAAACACATGGAGCTAAATAAAGACATCCAATAAGGCGAGAAAAACTCAAAGCCTTCTTCCTCTTCTACCACCCTTTCGGCGGGTACTGTCTGTTGGGATGGGAGTAACGTCCTCTGCAACAACACTTACAATGTTAGAAATCCTCAGGACATATTACAATAGAGCAAATAGTTTAGATAAGAATATGGGTTATGAAGCTTACCGATACGTCCTATTTTCATGCCAGAACGAGCAAGAGCTCTAAGGGCAGACTGAGCTCCAGGACCAGGTGTTTTGGTCTTGTTTCCACCGGTGGCACGGAGCTTCACATGCATGGCAGTGATTCCAAGTTCCTGTGTTTTGAATAGTAGTTCACAAATCAGATAACAACCATGAAACAAAGCTTGTCTCTAATGAATTTGTTAGGGTCATATAAAGTACCTTGCATCGCTGAGCAACATCTTGTGCAGCAAGCATAGCGGCATAAGGTGAGGACTCATCCCTGTCAGCTTTCACCTTCATTCCACCTAATCAAATATCAAAAGAGCAGAAGAAAATAGTTACGCACTTATAATATGCTTGTTGCGTATTCCAGAATAAGAACATTTCCGAGTGATCACTCAAATACTGAAACTAAAAAGAGTTGAGAGACTAAAAACACTTCAACGCCAATGACATGAGAAGCACAACATCAATGTTCTCAATTCAAGTAAGGATCAAGAATGGATTATATTGGAGCCAAATCAAAAGATGCTTACCAGTGATACGGACAAGTGTTTCACGTCCAGACAAATCAGTAACATGCTGCAATTGGAGAAAAAATGTCAGCTTCCAGTTGCATAAATGATAAATGGAATCACAATTAAGCCAGAAACTCACAATGAAAGTATCATTGAATGAAGCAAAGATGTGGACAACACCGAAAACTTGCTCTCCCTCACGAACACTTGGTCCAAGAGTCACAACATCGACCTTTGGCTCTTTAGTCTTTCTCTTCGACGACTATACAAAATACACATAACACTCAATTGCATTAAGCTTCAACAAGTATATTAACGCATAATACAAAAAAAAAAAAAAAACAATCTCTCATATCATTTCAAATCACAGGCCTAAACAATAAAAGGGACATTTTCTCAGTAATCCAATCAAACAGCAGATTCAGGATCCAAAACAAAGAAAGACAGATACTTTCCTAACTCCAAATGACACGAAGAAACAATGGAACAACCTAAATCTACATATGTATTCTCAATCCAATCTGAGATAATCAGAGAAAAGATGAAAACTTTACAAAGACGAAGCTTACCATTGTTCAAGGCGATTAAAAGTAACTCAGATTTGGAAGAGGCTCTTGGTTCTTGAGTTCCGCCTACACACAGAGTTTGGCAAGAGAGAAACGATGCAAGAATCAGAAAACGATTTTATATTAGGGTTTATGAGAGAACGAGAGAAGCCTTTAGGGTTTCGAAGTAAACTTGGGCCTAGTCTCACTTGTTGGGTTCAGCCCACTGTATAACGACGTCGTTTGGTGATTTCTGGGCAAAAGAAATTTAAAAATATTTGACAACTGTGGGATTTGAACCCACGCCCTTTCGGACCAGAGCCTAAATCTGGCGCCTTAGACCACTCGGCCAAATTGTCAATTGTTGCTAGAGATGAATCATGATTGTATATATTATTTATTATGTTCCTTCCAAAGACTATTAAGCTTCGTGTTCAAGATCATTGTTTACAAGAGGTATGAGAAGGTTAGGACAAGTGGTTATTACAAATTATTGCCTTCTTGGCTAGTAGATCTGTGCATGATCAGTTCTGTTCACGATGTCGGAAATTGAACTTCGTCGATGCAAACATACTACGCCCATAAGGCCATAACCAAATTGTTTCAATATAGTGTCGTAGACCATGAGTCCATGATTGTATATATCAACAATTCTTTAGTATTGTATATTTGTTTTCACTTTTGATCTCAAACTTTAAAACTATTTATTTACGAGTGTGATGTCTTAGATAAGTAGTAGTAAAAAAAAACTAGAAAGACATAACACAAAGGAAAAGAGGTATTCGAAATTCAGTTTAAATTTGAAAGAGGGCAAATTGTTTATGTGACTCGAGCAATCTCAACAGCTTTTTTGAGAGCTCCTAAGAGACTCCTCATGATTCTTTCTTCTCCCGGAGGTGCTTTATCTTTCTTCCTCCCATTACGCGTCGCTTGGAACACTAAACCATTCTCTGTTGTTTGGAAAACCAAACAGTCAATGTAAACCGGAACATCGGTTTTGCCTTCATCTTCCATCACTATGAATCCTAACCTCGCTCCACCACTTATTCTATCCACCTATGACCAAAAAGCAGCTTCTTAGCTTCTATATATAGTTACAACTTCTGATGTGTATATTATTGATACAATGTTTCAAATATTTTCTATGATCACTAACAATTTATATGATCCATAGCCAAAATTGTTGACATATAATTTTTGATCAATCGCAAATTACCTTGAGAGGAACAGGAAGAGGTAGATTGGCTCCTTGGCAAAGACTGTTGGCCCACTGTTGTAGCAAAAAGAAAAAAACAATCAGTTGAGTAAAAAAATCAAGAAAAGATCGCTAGAAGGAGGGGTCGAACCTCCGACCTTGTGGTTAACAGCCACACGCTCTAACCAACTGAGCTATTCCAGCTTTTGCATATTTGCATGTTACAAATGTTACCTGAAAGAGAAGAGTTTCGAATCTCGCGAGATCGGTATCCACCGGGAGCTTCATGGTACCCAGAGAAACTCCGTCTTCTCCCTCTGCCTTAACGCCACCGTTTCCCGGTGAAGCATTTGCTACAATTGCCCTCTTTATTTGCCGGCGACTCGCTGCGCCATTCGTCGGAAGCAGGCAAGGAATTGAGAGACGGCGAAGGAATCTAGCCGGAGATCGGAAGGTTACTACTGGAGGTGGAACGAAGAGAGACGTTGCTGCGAAAGCCATTTTCCTACTTTCGGGTCCTTCACATAGTGAGAGATAGCTTTTTAGAGGATATGAGTTGAAACATGAAAATCTTGATGACGTGTTCTTTTTTAAGCCGTTGATTGTCACATGTGTAGAGAAATTACTTAGGGGGTGTTATTCACTTATTCAGTTGAGTAAAATCTGCTATTGTTTTTAACAATCTGTTTGTGTGGAGTTCAAAATCTCTGCAGTATATCCCGGATTATGATTCTAATGATTTACTCATGAAACTCCAAAGATGTTTCATTTCAAATGATTTGATATACAAAGATTTTACAAGTCTTTTAGTTTTGAATAACACTGGATTTTAATGAAGCATTTTAATTCTTAGTTGAATAACACCAAACTTTAAAATATATTAGAGTTAGATTTAAAATCATTAAGTTAATAACACTGGATTAGTGTTGGATTTCAATTCTATTAAAATCCATCATTGAATAACACCACCTTAGGATTATATGATTTGATTAGGAACGAGGCAAAATACAAGAAGAAATAAATAGTCATTTAAAGGATTTAAATCGTTGTTTTTTTTAATCAAAGTAGAGTCAAAACCAGTCTACAATAGTTCTTCATGCCATACTAATGCTTCTTCTCCTTAACAAAAACTTCTCTGCCCCAATCAATCGATCACTTTAGTCCTCAGAATCTTCACTTCATGGATTGGCCTGGAATTTGAGAATAGGAAAGAGATTGCTTCAATTACTCGGTTTTTTCAATGGGTGGTCAATTCTTATTGATTTCAGATGAGTAAGTAAACTTTACCTGTCGGTGTTATCGGTTTGGACACTACCGAGCCTCTTGATCACCTCCATACCACGGCACACTCTGCCAAATATTGTGTGCTTTCCTGGAAGTTGCATATAGATGTTAAAAGAAGAGCACAACAGTCCATGATCTCAAAACATTGTAAGATATTAAACGAGTGTATTCAAGAGATGAAATGTGTTTACCATCCAAGGACGGTTGTGGCGCTAAAGTAATAAAGAATTGACTCCCGTTTGTATTAGGACCAGCGTTTGCCATTGATAAAATTCCAGCTCCTGTGTGCTTCAACTCTTTGGTTATCTCATCCTCAAACTTCGAACTAGGAAAAGGAGCAAGGCAAAAAAAAAAAACCATAAGACAAATGCTAGATCAATATAAAATATCCTACAAAGTAGAAGCTTTGGTGTTTCAAGCCTCTGGAACACATCAGTGGACACAAACAAGATTGAAATGGAAAAGCAACTTGAGTAGTGTCAATCAACTTGAGACTTGTAGAAACTTGTGCTAGTCGACTATATACATCACGCTCAGAAGTTTTAAATAATGTAAGGTTTTCCCCAATTTCAACATCTCAGTCAGTCTTGAGTAAATATCAAAAGAAAAGTAACTTCACCAGAGCCTAAGAGAGCTACACTTCATCAGAGATTGATTTGATCCCCACCAAAACTAACTTCATCAGAACTTAGCCATAGCTGATCCAAATTCGATTACTAACAAACCCACGGAATCAACAAGTAAAGCTAGCATTGATGAAGAAAAAACGATTATAAGATAAAACATTGATACTTACCCATAAATGGATTCACCACCTCTTCCAGTTCCTGTAGGATCCCCACCTTGCACGATGAAATCCTGCAACGAATTAACAAATTCCTTAAAAATTCATCACAGTGATGATCTAAGTACAAGGAAAAGTAGATTGGAAACAGGACAACAGACCTTGACGATTCTGTGAAATAGAACGTTGTCATAGTAACCTCTCCGGGATAGTTCAACGAAGTTCCGGCAAGTTCTCGGGGAGTGTTTATAATACATCTGAGCAAAAATTGACACACAAATCAAAACGTTGTAAACCCTAAAACTCCGTTCTAAAACCCTAAAATCTTCACAAGGAGAAGCTCAATACAATCGGAATGTAGAAATTAGGGAATGAAATCTAGATCTCAAGTTCTTTCGTGCAAGCTCTATATATGAATGTAATGGCTGGAAATTTTTTGGTTGATTCGACAATCAAAAAGGGAATAATAGCAAGAGTGAGAGAGAGAAACCTCGACGGTGAAAGGACCCATGGAGGTCTCGAGCGTAACCTCCGGCGGACTTCCTTCAGGTCTCGCCGACATTTTTCAGCGACGGAGAGAGAGAGAGAAGCAGCGATTCGTCGGGAACCGAAGGAGACTACGATGCGACGCTAACTCTGCTACCTTTATCGGGTCGGATCTGATTCTTTATCGGTTTATGGGTCGGCTCGAATTTTATAAAACGTATGGGCCTTAGTGTAATTGAAACTATAAAAAAATTAAGTTCGGCCCAAGTTAATATCAATTACACAAAAAAGGATATTTTGACATTTATAGGTTGGTTTTTGACATTTCTTAAACTAAGGGGGTGTTATTGGTTTATTAATTTGTAAATCTATATAGGATTTGAAAATCTCTATTAATTATGAAATCAAGATATATGGATTTTGAAATAACATGTGTTTACCCATGGATTTGAATCCTTCTATTTTTCTCTTTCAATTCCATTCAAATCCATTTAGGAGGGGTTATTGGTTCATGGATTTATAAGGAATTATAAATCCAAACAAAAATCATTTGTTATTCAATCATTAATTTTAAAATCCTAATTAAAATCATGTGTTATTGGTTCTATGAATTATAAATACTAGTTGAAATCCTTTGTTATTCGTTTAATCATTTGTTTTTGGATTTGAGAATCCAAATTATGTTTTAAATGGATTTGAATGGAATTGAAAGAGAAAAATAGAAGGATTCAAATCCATGGGTAAACACATGTTATTTCAAAATCCATATATCTTGATTTCATAATTAATAGAAATTTTCAAATTCTATATGGATTTACAAATTAATAAACCAATAACACCCCCTTAAAACATAATTTGGATTCTCAAATCCAAAAACAAATGACTAAACGAATAACATATGATTTTAATTAGTATTTATAAATCATAGAACCAATAACACATGATTTTAATTAGGATTTTAAATTCAATGGTTGAATAACAAATGATTTTTGTTTAGATTTCTAATTCCTTATAAATCCATGAACCAATAACCCCTCCTAAAACTGGATATTTTGCATGAAAATTGTTTTTAACCCTTCATATGCTCTGAACTCTCATGCTTCTTTTCAACTCTTAATATAGCTTGAACATACCATTACTTATGTTTTTAATGTCAGTTTGAAGTATATTGTTTGAAATATATATACTTCAAACATGGTGGTGGGCGAGTGGTTCTCGTTTGGTTGGAAGGATCGCCCTGTTGGTCTAGGCCAGGGATCGATCCTCCCCAGACGCAGTTTCGCTCTCTCACTCCTGTGGCCACCTGGGAATTTACCTGCGGACTTGCTCAGGCGCCCCAGACCACCAGTTTATCAGGGGGCCCTTAAGTGGAGGCTTAAAAATCCATGTGACGCGGGCTTAGGCCCAGTGGGCTAGTCAGATCACTGTGTGGTCTGGATACTGGGTTATCAAAAAAAAAAAAAAAAAAAATATATATATATATACTTCAAACTCTCATGCTTCTTTTCAACTCTAAACATATAGCTTGTACGTACCATCATTGATGTTTTTAATGTTCTTCGTATTGTCACTTGTTGTCATATACCAAATCAAAGTTGTATGTGTCCTATTTCACTCATGCATACTTCGTCAATTTTATCTAATATAGATTCTACATCACGCTTAGGAACAACTATGATCTCCATTTATAAAAACTTGACACACACGTAGTAGCTTACAACAATATTGGTACAATTTAAAAACTTCAACAATAGCCGCCTTTTTACGGCTTATTATACGAAGGAATACTATATTTATTGCCACATATATATATATATATATATATATATCTTGAAACTATATATAGTCCCTTGCGAGATATGACACTTCACTCAATGGCCGTTATGCTCCATAGAGATATTTTTCAGGGTACATAGCCACCGCTTCCTTCTCCGCCACCAGCACCGCCACCGTGACCATATCCTGAAGCAGCAGCATAACCTCCACCACCTCCTCCACCACCTCCGGCACCACCACCACCTCCTCCTCCTCCACCATGTCCTCCAGCTCCTGCACCACCACCGTATCCCTCTCCAGCTCCACCTCCTGCTCCGTAACCACCACCATGAGCTCCTCCTTCGCCAGAACCTCCTCCTCCACCACCACCATTTCCACCGCCTCCACCACCTCCATGTCCACCGGCACCTGCACCTCCACCTCCATATCCTCCTCCAGCACCACCACCTTGTCCACCACCGTACCCTCCACCATGTGCACCGCCACCTCCTCCACCGCCGCCTGCTCCGCTTCCTCCACCTCCACCATGCCCACCAGTTTCTCCGCCTCCGTATCCAGCTCCACCACCTTCACCGCTTCCACCTCCGTAGCCTCCTCCAGGACCACCACCACCTCCTCCGCCAGCACCACCACCATGTCCACCACCTCCGCCTCCACCAATATGTCCCTCACCATGCCCACCAGCTCCACCACCTTCACCGCTTCCACCTCCGTAACCAGATCCTCCTCCAGGACCACCGCCGCCTCCTCCTCCAGCACCACCACCATGTCCACCACCTCCACCTCCGCCAATAACACCAGCTCCACCGTAGCCAGCACCGCCACCTTCTCCGCCGCCACCACCAACACCAACACCACCACCAATACCAACCCCAACACTTAAACCACTTTTCACTCCATAGGCAGCGACTTCAGCCTCGGATTCAGATGAGGAGAGAAGTGCCCGTCTTGCAGAACATAACCCTAAACCTATTAAGAAACATAGAAAGAAGAGATTTTTGTGATTAGCCATGTTTCACTCTTTCTACTGAATATTTAGTTGTGAGATGAGTTTGCTTGAGAATGTGTCTGTATTTATAGGCATTTCATGAGACCCAACCGCGTTTGTTGCACATAGGATGGATGTCCTAAATTGCACTCTCGTTGACGCCCACACCTACCCTATCAATTTCATTTGATTATCTTATGTGCTTTTTTATCTATAGGAATGTCATGATTATATGTAATTCTTTTATACACAAACTACAAAAACTGTTTTATATGTATAGGTTTTTGGTGGTTGGTGTGTTAAGTTTATGTTGACGTTTTCTATGAAATGGTATTTTTAACTACAAAATATCATTTCGTGTATATATATGATAGTACATTTTTCTTTTAACAAAATGTATTATATGAGATTTATATATATGTGTGTTAACACATCTCGACACTAATAGAAATCACTAGACTAAATTTGTATTCATATTTATAAAAACAAGTTTTAATCAGCTTAGAGTTTTAATGAGATGGTTACAAAGAAAACCAAAATTAATGAGATGGTGCATGAGATACTATAAGCTAGTAAGCTACAATAACATATCGATCATCCGTGAGTTAAAGTCTTGCGAAGTTTGAATAAGATATCGACCACTAGTTAACAACACTTCCCGTTTATATATAGACGGTAGACGACAAATACAGTTTTATCCACATATATATGGTTTATGAGTTTTACTATACTGTATCACGTACCAATATATATATGCGTGATTGAATATAAAAGATACGAACACTACTAATTTCAGATCAATAAGTAATGCCACTTGTGTGTGTATGTTTGGTTGTCTTGTCTCCCATATTGCATAAATGACATGTTTAATCAACTAATTATACTGTAAATATAATGAATCAGACCTAATTTTCACATATTATCATATTGTTCTTTATGGATATCTGACTCACTCCTATGTCTACACTAACTTTCACAATTTAAAATCAATTCCTATCAACTTGTGTTTATTAGTGGCTTTACAAGGCAATAGATGTAAACGTTGCATAAACGTAATTAATTACACGAATATATGACCTTAGTTGTCTTTTTAGAATATCTATACATTTTTCACTATCAAGAAATTTTGAAAAGATGATTTTTTTATTAGAATTAAAAGGCCATGTGAAATTCTCATTATTAGTGTTTTGGCAATGACAATGAAGTGTGCCATCCAGCAAATTAGCAACACTAGAGAGATAATACTTTCCAATCACATACCCACTTGTTAGAACTTAGAACAACATAAATAGGTAAGTTTCATCACAAAAATCTTATTCATGATTTATAATTTACGAAAATTTATCTTTTAACCCTTTTTCGTGAATATTAATGTTTTTATTTCTCTATATGTGCTATATATTTATTAAGGTCAAATGTATATTATGTCAATTTAGCTTGATTTTATTTATAACAAATTTCATTGCAAACAAGCATTACATACCATTCACTCATTCAGTGTTAATCAATCATCTAACTAACCACATTAATTCATTATTCTATAGTATGAAATTTAACACATGTTAATATAAAACAAAGACAATCGTAATCTAATCGAACGCTAACAATACTGAACCAAAACCGGATCAAAATTACTTCGATTATATTTTATTTACAATTTTACTAAAATCAAACTAACCGAACCTAGCTAAACCAAAGCCAAAACTAACTTGAAATGCCAATTGAAATGGGAGAGGATTGCTTAAAGAGGTGTTTAACCGAATCATAGAATGGTGGTTTATGCCCGACCCTTCGATTCTCAGTCTTGACAAGTTTTAGTTTGCCGCAAAGTGTAGTTTTTTTACATATGAAAGTGGACCCAACCATATCACTTTGTTTCACAAGTGGCTCCTTTAAGACTTTCCTAAACTTTTGACAAATGGGTTTAGGCTTATGATTGTCATGAAAGATATAGAAGTACACTTATATAAAGTTTAAGAACTTATCATATACAAAAAAAAAAAGGAAAAATCAAAAATTAAAAAGTTAAGGACCGAAATTTATAATCGGAATGCGCCAATTAATATTCCACATTATGTATATATTTTGACTAATATATTAAAATATAATTTCATCCTAGTAAAAGTTTATTAATGAATAATGCATATTTTCTTTTTGTCATAACCAATTCATGGTAACTTAATGATTGAAAGATTTTACATGTTAGTTGAGGAACTATACATGTTGGTATGTGAAGTGTTAATTAGCAAGAAAGCCTAGGTTTTCACAACCATGCATGTTTACTTTTTTATATTTTATACATAGTTTCATACATGTTTCTTTTACACCTTACAGAATTTTAAAATGATTTTCGTCACACCTTAAAGGATCGATTAAGGTGTCGCAGCCTCTCGGATATATCTCTTCCTTCGGAGTCAGCCGCCGTGTTCCAAGTGAAAGCATAGGCCCATAGTCTTTTGAGTTGCATCAAAACACGATTGATGATCACTCGACTGTTGCACAAATTCTTTCTTCATCCTGGTACTCCAACATAACCAATTTCATCTTCTCATCATAAAGCAAATTATTATTTTAACCCTTAATCTGAGCCATTGGAAATCACAATGTTGGTCAAAACATGTATGATCCGGTATTTGATATACATATATGTGACTCCTGTTTATATGCAATATTTTAAAACATACATGTTTTTTTAATAGGAGTGTTAACATAGACGTCTTTTTAATTCATGTCATGTGAAAAAAAAAAAACACGCATTGTATTTTGTATTAAAAAAACAAAAAATATATACTAACACAACATGAGAATTGGCGATTAAGGATTTTGAACTAGAAAACGTTCATTATTAAAAGAAGAAAAAAAAGACATTAATTATTTTCGAATAAAATATCTTTCCTCAGAAACACACCCCAACATAAGAAAGATTTGAGCTCTCTTTCCAGAGACGTTCCTTAACACCAAGCTTGCAGCAAACATAGACATCATGTGACGCCTGAACAATCTGATCATGAGAAAGGCTGCGAGCTCCCCAATTACTCATACAAATCTCCTTATCTTTCCTCACTCCCTCGTGCCCCAAACACTCCTCCACAATCTTCTCAAACGAACTATTGCGGAGCCACGTAGGCAGATAATGCCTTATGTCGAGAAGTCTCCATATATCCAACTGATGGCGGAATCTCTCTAGCTTATCCTTGTCTTGACTGTTCCAGACTCCAACGAAAGTGATTGTCTCATCTTCCAAGAAACTTCGAAGGACATCAGGCATGCGCTTACAGTGAGACAACTGGATGATGAGACAGCGGATACCAACACATAGTTGGAGAATATCCGGTGGAGGATCGGAACCTCGGGGTGTCCATTGGACGTCGAGTCCAACAACGAGAGGGTGTGACGAGCGAAGACGGCTGAAGAAGCGGATACTATGGATCCATCGGCGGATCACTGATGTAGTATGAGTGACCGTGACGATCAAACGTTCTCCAAAGAAACCGACGTGGTGTTTTTCGTGGATATGGTGCTTTTGGATTCTTCTTCTGATCCTAGCCATTTGATCTTATTTGAAAGAGATACAGAGAAGTGATAATCAATCCTAACGTTCTAGAAAACGTTCTCCAGCGTGATACAAATAATGATTTGTTAAACCTCATGATCAGAAGAAGAAGAGATACATCAATTTATATAGAAATAAAAGCTAAACCTAATTTCTTAAAATAAGATAAAGATAAATGTAAAAACAGTTTTTTTGTTTGAATAAATTTTACATTCTTTCAAAAAAAAAAAAAAAAAATTAACACTTTTAAAATAATATGAAATATTCTAAATTAAAATATTGACAAATCCACAATATTTCCATTATCAAATTTTGATATCGTTTTGTAGTCTTCGAGATCTTGGTTTGGTCGATTTCATCAATTTTCGAATAATAGGAGATTTGAATTTTGAAAAAAAAAAAAAATTAAAAGGATTTTATCAAGATATCTAGGGGAATATTTTCCTGGAATATAGCTTGAGGAGAATATTTTTTGTATTTTGTATCTTTGAAAATCAAAAGTTTAAAGGGGAAATTATTCTGGGCTAGGCTTTTGCAATCACAAGCCCAAAACTACAATATGTACATAAGTTTTTGTTTGGGCTGGCACTGTTGGATCATTTTAGGCTTATATATAACATCTGGCCATTTAGAAAGAGTTACATGGTAATTGATTTTTCAAGTTTAAAAGAAATTTGTATCAAAATCACTAAAAGTTATGTATCTAATTTTTTTATTTACCAAATTAATGCTATAACAAAGTTCGATTGTACAATTGGCATGGAATAAATTGAACATAAATCACACATTATTAAGCACTTTTGCCTACGAACGGATACCAACTTCATTAGTTTACATTTACTTGTGTTCAATTGTTAGATCAAGTGGGGGAAAGTAAGAAGCAACAACTCCTCTCCCCAGACCCTAACAAATCAACTAAACTCAATATCAAACTATTAAAAAAAAGCTCATCATTAATCAGCTACTAATTATTCCTAATCAAACAATGCTTAATACAAGCACTATATAAATACTTGTCCATCTTCCATTAGTTTCCACCACAACTACAAAAACATTCCAATAAACAACACACAAAGCACACACTTTGTCTTTCTTTAAACCCCAATTGCAAGAGAAAATGACGAAAGAGTCCACCACCATTGACGTCGGCGAGCCAAGCACTGTCACCAAAAGTTCAAGCCATGTCGTGAAGAAGAAGGGCTTCGTGGCAGCCGCAGCAGGAGGTGGTGCCAAGAGAGGTTTAGCCATATTCGATTTCCTCCTCCGTTTGGCGGCCATAGGAGTCACCATCGGAGCTGCCTCTGTCATGTACACCGCCCAGGAGACTCTTCCCTTCTTTACTCAGTTCCTCCAGTTCCAAGCCAGTTACGATGACCTTCCTGCATTTCAGTACGTCCATTCCTATCTTCGTTACTTATTTACATAATGTTTACAAAATTAATGCATATATTATATCTCTAACTACGATGGTGAACCATATACTTCTAATTTGTTATAAATTTCTTGAAATCAAATATTTAAATTCGAGTTAATAGTAAGTCAAGTCATGTTCCTGTTATATCATTGTGCGGTTAGTGACCTAATGAAATGATATAAATCGTTTTTGAAGGTACTTTGTGATAGCCGTAGCCATAGTCGCTGGCTATCTCGTCCTTTCACTTCCATTCTCCATCGTAACTATTGTCCGTCCACTCGCTGTCGCGCCTCGGCTGATCCTCCTCATCTTCGATACTGTAACTTACCTTATAACCTATATACTTCATTTCTTTTTCTTAATTTCATATAACTCACTCTCTTTTATGTTATGGTGGTATACATAAAGTTGGTCGTGACGCTCAACACATCAGCAGCTGCTGCGGCAGCATCAATCGTCTACCTTGCACACAACGGCAACCAAAACACCAACTGGCTCCCTATCTGTCAGCAGTTTGGAGACTTTTGCCAAAACGTGAGCACCGCGGTTGTAGCAGCTTCTATCGCGATTCTCTTCTTCATTGTTCTCATCATCATCTCCGCCATCGCCCTCAAGAGGCACTGATTTCATCTTTTTTAAGTATCAAAATCGTAATTAATGTACTTGTTGTATATGTTTGTGGCTTTGTGAAACACGAGAATTGGTATTATTGTGTGAAAATGTAATTGAAGTTGTTTATGTTTTTTAAAAGAAATTTGTCTTTTGGTTAAACTTAAAAGCTTCCGATTCATATAGAGGTTCTCCAAAGACAAAACACAACAAAAGACACGAAGCCTAAAATACCAAAAGCTACAGTCAAAATGTCAAATACCGATTCTACCCTCATCTTCTTCTCCTTCATCTCTCTCTTCTTCTCCATAAACTCTTCGTGTCTTCTCTTCGATTCTACTTCTCGTCTTCTTCCATTTACCCTTTTACCCTCCATGACACTCCTCAAAATGACCAAACTGTCCCTCCCGTTCAAATGCGTTCCCTCCATCTTCTCTACCTTGAGACTCACTTCCCTCACGTGCATCTCCTCCTCTCCGCACGTGACCACCGTGATCACACACTCCACCGTATCCACCACCGTCGCGAATTGCGCCTCCACTTCTCCGCTTATCCAGTTCCTCTGCACCGACACCGGCCGGTGACTCGACAGATTCGCCGCTCGTTTCCCGATCGGATCAATCACGATCCAGCTCAAAGTCAAATCCTTCTCTAAATCACGACACGTGTCTTCCGTCCTCCGTCTTCTCTTAATCGGCGTCGCCACCGTATCCTTCGTATCCACCATATCAATCCTCAACGGCGAGCTCTTAAACCACGCCGTCGTAGTCTCCGTCTTAACGACTCTACTGAAAATCAATTTCCCTTTGTAGTGAAGATCCACGGCGGAGATCAATTCGGGAAACGGACGGTCGAGATCAGAAACTAAACCAGCGGTTTCAACCATAGAATAAGCGTCGGAGAAAAAAGAACGAGAGCCACCGGAGCAAGAAGGCCACGTGGACCGGCAGATTTTGGACCAGAGGATCTCATTGGAAGCGAGATGGTGAAGATATGAGGAGGCGCAAGAGACGGAGGCTAAGGTTGCGCCGTCGAGACGTGTCAAGATGTGAGACTCTATGATGTCGTGATGGACGGTAGAGATTAAATCTGTTACGGTGGTGGTAGAGGAGGAGGAGGCCATCTCTGTTCACGTTGCTCTGAGTGATTATTAGAATTTAGTACTAATTGCGAGTGATAATTGAATATTTAGTTAATGATATTTTTGTTAATCAGTGAAGGGGTATTTATATAAGAGCGTCAAAGTCTTTTTGTTTGACAAGTTCATCTTTTTTATTTTTATTACAATAATACCACTACCGAAACTGGGGCAAGTTGATATATTTTTTTCATTAACGTCATTTTCTTTAGTATAATAGATAATTGACGCAATTATGTTGGGATTGAAAAGATTGATGAAATAAATATAGAAGAAAATTTGGACTATTTTTTGAAAAAGATCTATGTGATACATCATTTATTTGAATTGTTTCAATTGTGTTTTATCATATAGATTTTTCGTCGAATTTTATAGATTGTTTGGAAACTAAACTTACATGATTGAGGAGACTATCAATGAATTTTAGAACGAAATTATAGATTTTACGTTAGAAATTTCCACGCGAAGAATACTTAGCAAAAGCATCACCCTCACATGCCATTCGATTTCCGGACAACTTGAATATCCCACTAGAAAAGTATATGTATATTCAATTCAAAATATACTCTTTTGTCAATTATACATTATTCAATAATTTGGTATTGATTGTCAAACTACATATATTTACTATACTGTATATTCAAACAAACACACAGGCCTTACATGCTAATTTTAGCTAGACATCGTTTATTTATATACTAATCAAAGTTGTCTAATTTTGTCTAAAGTCTAAAGATATCCACAAAAGAATTAGAGTTAATTAGTTCTGAAAATAAATTATCAGAAACAGAAGAATTTACTAGAAATAAAATAAAATAAAAAATTTAAAACAGTTAATCAGTGAGTCACATAGCTAGCTAGCTATCATTGCATTGGAAAAGGCCCAACAAACATTCGGTATGTCTTTCCACAGAGAAGCTCTGATCTTAACGGACTATAATAAAGTCTTCTGTTTTGTGTTTCTATTATAATGACCATTAAGGCTTTAACATTAACATAATTTACTAGAAATAACAAAAGATTAATAGAAGTACCGAATGCTTCCTTTTCTACAGTCGAAATTTGATCTATAAGTCAGTCACATCTAGCAAAAAAAAACATAGAAGTACAGACGCAACTAGTGTCAGAATATATCCTTAATGCAAAAAAAACATAAAATGATGATGAAGATCAAAAACGTACACACATATGCGACGAGACATTCACAAACAAAGGAGTCATAAATAAAGATACGTAGGAAGGTGGGAAAGGCATGGCCCATGTTATAAATTAAATGTCCTATATGATAGTATCATACCATCTCTCTTTTCTTGTTTTTATCACCCGTAATTTCAATTATACTAGCAAGGGTCGGCGATACAGTATTAGTAGCAAAGTACAATATGAGACATAGTAAGTATAAGGCCGGTGAACAAAAAAATAAAATAAAATAAATAAATAAATAAGGCTTTGAATGGTCGGAGATTTTAAATAGCTTTTAATTTTAGTTTTTGGGTTTATGGAACATATGTCATATGTTATTATTCAATCGTATAAAATTATATGACCTTCACATGATAGTACTTAGCCAACTTTTTAACATGGATAATGCATGAGATCACCTTTTGTATATATAGTTTAATATAATTTCAAAAGCAACAGGGAATGGACAACCTTATAACAACGTTAGATTAAGGGGTTCCCTTAATTTAACTTTTTAAGTCTTAAGACATCACAGTCGATTAGGTTTATACAGCTTTTGTGTTATAAAAATTTGACTAGTAAGTAATAACCAAAAAGAAAAGGTTGAATGAGAAAAGGAAATGCCAACAAATGATCTGCATCAGCATGATGAATTATAGAAGATTAATAAATTACGTCGTCTTGGCATTTTCTTAGATACAAACAAAAATTTGAAAATTTGAAATATTGTATCGAAATGAAAATACTTAAATATTGTATAAAATACATTTTCTGTTCATCTCGCAGATGATTTTATTTTTTGTTTAGAATTTGAATAATAGTCCAAAAAAAAACTGATTAATAGTTGAATAGACACTTAATAAACTAAGAAATATTATTGGTTTCAATTGTGTGATATTAAAATAAGCCGACGACATTATAGTATGTGTATCCGGTTCCTACTCTCAACCTAATTTTCCCCTTTATAATTTGACAGACAAAATCCACTGCATATATACAGTTTTATTTTGAATTGTATATAGTCTATAGTCAAGCACTGATGTTAGCGAATGTACTACATCTAGAGTTCGTGATACAAAATGAAGATATCATTAAAAAAAAACCTAACTCTTTGTATACAGTTTTATTTTGAATTGTTTATAGTCTATAGTCAAGCACTGATGTTAGCGAATGTACTACATCTAGAGTTCGTGATACAAAATGAAGATATCATTATAAAAAAACTAACTCTTTGTATAGTTGTCTTTCTATGGAAGTTTTATTCAAGACGGTGAAAACTTTTGGGAAGCAAAGATAACATCTGCTAGGATGCAGGGTGAGCAATTTTGATCTCGGAGCAAGCGTCGTATGTTTATATAGGAGTAGGACTATGAGTCTATATGATCCATCTTTTGAAAGTTTTTAGAAGAATGATTAATTTGCGCGCGGAACCAAGATGAGGTTGTCTCTAGGATGACTTGGGAGTTGGGAATGTCGCCCCTAAGTTTCTCTAACGTTCAAGTTAGAATATAATTACATAATTAATTAGTTATGAACCGGGGTACTTTCATTTCCGACACGCTAAACCGGTCAGAATTGGCTCCTATAAATCATCGGCCAATGCCACAAGTTTGTGCCTAGAGACTATATTCAAACGGGCCCAAGTTAGGGTCCATATGTATCAATTGGATATTATAGTATCACGGAATTAGGTCTGAAAAGTCTCATGCTAATTATGCTTATGATAATTTCGTAAAGAGAAGGTATATAATAATAGCATTCATCTGTCCATCTGGAGCGGGTTACTTTTAAACTATCAAGTCAATTACAAACTTAATTGCAGCATTTGTTTAATACATCTCATTTGTGTCAGTACTCATACATTATTCTTGCCATAATTCTCTGTATTGGAAAGCAATCTTGTGCTCAATTACTGCTAAGTGCAATGAACTTGCACAGATGATCTCATATCTTTTTCAAAAATATAGTTTTTAAGTATTAATCCAGGTGTGTCAGATACCTACTAAATCAAACTTGGATTCTTTGTCTATTATTAATTATTACATTAATTTCGTAATCACAAGTCTACAAATAACGTACGTCTATATGTACACAAATGTACATCACAGTGCACACATACTTAGACGTAGGTGTACATAGTGGCACGTGGGTATACTAGTCTAGATACTTCTCTGATAATGTTTTTTTCTTTGTCTCTATATGTTTTAAATTTTTATGCTTTTTTGAAATACCAATATATCTTTAATTATCAGAAAGAAAAAAAGTATATTACGAGCTGAAATGCTGCATAAGTTCGCTAGTATTAATTTAGTAGGAAGAGCTACATTTTTGGCTGCTACCATAATTGAAACGACGTGACAAAGTATTGGTTAAGGTCAAGAAGACAAGGTTTTAGGGGAGGAAATGTTTCTTTGGCTCCAATTAATAAAGATTGGGGAAAAAATGATAAAGAAAATACTCTTTTTCTTTCAACGAAGTGTCTTTCATTCATTGAAAAACCTTCAAGCAAACAAGACAAGAAATCAACATTGGTTGATACACTGCATCGTAGCTTTCCTAGCCAAAAGATTAGGTCCAATGAAATAACTTTTGACATATACAAAATCTTTCTCTCTAAATCAACTAAAACGATGACCAATATCCAATTACCACATTGTTACATTATCATTCGCATCACAACTCAAAACACTATGTGTATGTGTTCACTTCGTCCCACTGCTATGTCACCGCCACACACCGTCTATTAGACCCGTCGTCTTGCTATTGTGTAACAATAGATTTATAAGTCAATTTTTATTTTTAATAGTTTTGATTTAAAAACATGTATATAAATGCTTTG